TCCAGGTCCAGATATAGGTCCAGGTCCAGATATAGGTCCAGGTCCAGGTATAGGTCCAGGGCCAGGTATAGGTCCAGGTCCAGGTATAGGTCCAGGTCCAGATATAGGTCCAGGTCCAGATATAGGTCCAGGTCCAGATATAGGTCCAGGTATAGGTCCAGGTATAGGTATAGGTCCAGGTCCAGATATAGGTCCAGGTCCAGGTATAGGTCCAGGTCCAGATATAGGACCAGGTCCAGATATAGGTCCAGGTCCAGATATAGGTCCAGGTCCAGATATAGGTCCAGGTCCAGGTATAGGTCCAGGTCCAGGTATAGGTCCAGGGCCAGGTATAGGTCCAGGTCCAGATATAGGTCCAGGTCCAGATATAGGTCCAGGTCCAGGTATAGGTCCAGGTATAGGTCCAGGGCCAGGTATAGGTCCAGGTCCAGATATAGGTCCAGGTCCAGGTATAGGTCCAGGTCCAGGTCCAGGTCCAGGTATAGGTCCAGGTCCAGATATAGGTCCAGGTCCAGGTATAGGTCCAGGTCCAGATATAGGTCCAGGTCCAGGTATAGGTCCAGGTGTATCTGAAAGACAAAAAAAACATGTTAAGGATAGAAAAAATAATTACAAATACAAAACAGGTTGAGCAGAGTAAGTAAAGACAGTAGCAGAGTGAGAAGTGTGGTCAGTTTGTCCTCCAGCAGTCTAAGACTATAGCAGCAGAACTAAGGGACAGCTCAGGAAACCCAAGCCGACCCTAACTATAGGATTTATCAAAAAGGAAAGTCTTAAGTCTAGTTTTAAAACTGGACAATGTGTCAGCCTCACGGACAGAAACAGGAAGTTGGTTCCACAAGAGAGGAGTCTGAGATCTGAAAGATCTGCCTCCCATTCTGTTTTTGTAAACTCTAGGAACCACAAGTAAACCTGCAGTCTGAGAGCAAAGTGCTCTGTTAGGAAAATATGGAACAATAAGATCTGTAATATAAGATGGATCTAGGTTGTTGAGAGCTTTGTAGGTTAGAAGTAAGATTTTGAATTCT